ATAAATTGGTGATTATAATGAGTTTTTTATTAATAAATTTGACTTTAAAAGCTAAATTTTATAGTAATAGTGATTATAAGTGATTTGTAACTATAATGAGGTTTTTTGCTATCTTTAAGTTTGTTGCATAATATTGAGTGCTTATGTAGAGATATGACTATATAGGGTGTGATTATAGAGAGGTCAAACTGTAGTTAATATACACTACTTGCTAATAGTTTTAGAGTTTATCACTCACTGCAGACACAGCACTTGTCATTTAGAAGTAATTTTATATGCTACTTGCTAACAAGCTCAGAGTTTATCACTTACTGATAAAATTTAGTACTGTGCAGGCTCAAGAATATAGTTGATTCTAGTAAAAGAAAACTTATACCTTTTTAGTAGCTTTAAATATTTTTTCTCTTTTTCATATTTTACTGACCTCACCAAAATTTTTGACAAAAAGTGGACATTTCAGCTTACCCTTTTCAAAAGATTGGCATTGTTTATATTTTCTATTTTCAAATAGACAAAGTAGAACATAAACTCAGGATTATTTTGGCAATAATGTATCTACACCATGTGACAAATCAATCAGTGCTCTGGTTAATGAACCAACTTGGATCAGATATGATAGTCAGAAGAAATTTTAACAATAAGGCTTAGCTTTACAACAAAGATATACAAGACTTTTAAATTTAGAAATTAGTTTGTTTTAAATTTATTAGATATATAATTTTTACGACTATGTCTAGCATGGGCTATAATAGTGCTTTTATAGATTATTTTTTTTTTTCTCTTTTTTTTCTTCTTTTATTTGTTTTTTTATTTGTTTCTTGTTGCTTAAGCAGTTTTTTTCTTCACCTCTTTCATTTTGTTTCCTTTATCTTTTTTAGTTTAAGTTTTTTTTTTATAAGTCAGTTGGAGACTATAAAATCTTCTACTCAGAAAGCTAGGAGAAGAAAGTTAGAAAAGGAGGTGATTTTGATAGACTGTAAATATTATTTAGTAATATATCAAAGAATGCATTTGTAGTGTTTTTTAATATAGAGATTAACTTTACTATAGCAGATCAAACATAAGTAATTTGGGCACTTCATTATAAAGAGTCAGGTTAGTCAATATTTGTAACATAGGTAGATTTAGGTAACTTTAGTCAAAATTGTATTTTTATCTGGGAGTTTAAATGTGGGTATCTAATAAAAATATTAGCAAGATTGCCAAATTGATTAAAAAAAATTAGTAATTAAATATTAATTTACTACAATTTACATATATTTATCTGTTTCTAAATACATAACAAATTCTTTTTTATGTGCATTTATTAGATTGTAAGCTTTTTTATAAGAAGTTCTTTTATTTTTTAGTGATATTAGAATAATAAATTACACTATACTGTATAAACTATTTTTATCTGATTACTCAATTTCAAAGTTATACAAGTGACTAAATAATAAATTTGCATTCAGTTTAGACCTCTACTATATACAAGTATGGCTTGAAGAAGTCTATACTGTTTGGAAGCAGGTATACCATGCCACCTATTTAGAATATTCCCTTTACTTTAGATAACAAATCAACCAAGCTTCTAAGAAGAGATATGAAACTATTGTTTCTAAACTTACTTACACAATCAACAGCATACTTGATTACTACCAAGCTTCTATTTATTTCTCTAATATCAAACTTCCAAACCAACTAGTTACAAATTCTGCTAAAATCAAACAATATATACAACAACACTTTAATAACTGGACTGCACACAAACCTATCAACTACCTACTTTTTAACAACATTTGGCAATAACATTACTCTCTTTTACCTCACATTAACCCAGATTGATATAATTCTCCCACTACACCTTTTACAATTCATGAGGTCCTTCAAACTATTGCCAAACTTTCTAACAACAATAACAAAGCTTGTAGTTCTACAAACATAAGCTATGAAATATTTAAACACCTTAGCCATCATTGTACAACTGCATTTACTGCCCTTTTAAACTGATGCCTTTCTGAAAATTATATTTCTAAACAATGGAAGCATAATCAAATCTATCCTATTCCAAAAAGAAACATGTTTGATGGCAATTTTAACTTGATTTATTTAATTAGTCTTATAGAACATGCCAGAAAAATATATACTAAAATCCTTACAAATGGATTAAACCTTGTCTTCTCCCAACACTCTATTTTTTCTCTATACAACTATGTTACTTTGCTGGGCAATAGCACTTATATGTCTATACATATTCTTAACAATATTATTGAAGTTGCAAGCTGCAAGTACAAAGAAATCTGGTTTTTGTCCTAGGATATGAGCAAGGCTTATGATTCTGTTAACTCTACTCTTTTACATCATGCTCTTTCATGACTTGCACTTCCTGCTTCAATTATTAATATAATTTTTAATTTGTTTACTGGTCATCACAATGATGTTATTACAAACCTTGGCCTTACACTCTTTTACTTTGTGCAAAATGGAATTGATTAAGGAGAAACAATCACACCATTACTTTGATGTATCTACTATGACCTTCTTATTTCCAATATACACTCTACTATATCTAGGTATCAAATACATACCTCATGGTTTACCAATGTAAAAAACTTCTCAACTAACCAACTTAAAACCAGATGCTCGGTCCTTGCATATATAGATGGCATTCTATGAGTTGCATTTTCACATACAGAACTGACTAATATAATTTCAATTGCAGAATCCTTCTACTCTATGGCTAATATCCAAACAAACCCAAACAAATTAGTCCTTACTACTAACTCAACATCCAATTCTCACTACCCAATCACCTTTAACAACCAAATACTCCTACTACAATTACTGTTATTAGCTATTAATAATTTCAATAACCGCATTATTGATTTTTTCATCATTGAAGGCCCATAACTACTGTATAGTATATTTGTCATTATTTAGTAAAATAGCTTTGATTAATTTTGAAACATTTTTATATCAAAATTTGATTTCTTTCTATACTTTATTAGCTAACTGAATCATACCATATTATAAAGAGCCAAATCTTAAAAAATATAGATTCTCATAATCCATATCAGGTTATCACGATTTAATTATAAGAATTGCATGAACGATGAGTAAAGTATGTAATAATTAATGACGCAAATGTGTATTAGTCATCTTTCTTAACATCAATACCGAATTCATAATTGTAACCAAGTGAATGAAGTTGTTCAGTGACCATCTTTTTTAAAGGAAATAATGCTTTAGTAATTAATATATAAGGCATCGATTCTAAAGGGGAGTGCCCAAATTCCTTGACCCGTAATTTCTTTGAGACTTTCTTAGTAAATAAATTGTTGTCTGTGATATATTATTGATGAAGTACCTAAACAGTACTCTAGTTATCGTGTATTAGCTAAGCGAGTAAAGTCTTTTAGAAAGGTCAACGAATACATGGTAGTCTGGTAAACTCCGTGACACATAGTGCACTGCCTTTAGTACCCGGGTCTTATCAAAAAATATAATACAAGGAAATATTTCAATGAAACCTAACCATGAGTGGATACACAAACTGTGCATTGTGATATGGGATATTATACTTAGGGTCTATTATTAGAGCCGTTATTTGAAACTAAATCTATTAAATCTTAATGTCCGGATTTTATACATTTTTATAAAATCATAATTCAGTCATCAAAGCGCATAGAAATACGATTCCTCTGCTTCGTTCCGAACAACAAATTTCAAATCCGTAAAACATTCTATTGCCTCTTTTTAGGGACCTTAAAGCTGTGCAGATCACGCAACATAACGTTTTCATTAACGTTTTTCATTAACATTAGTTAGGGGAGTTTCTATAGGCAAAATTACCTCCCGACATTTTTTTCGCATTTTTCTCTTGTTCTGCTTCGTGATCAGGTATCAAAATTTAACGATTTGATTGGTTAACTATTACGTAATCTGCCCGCTTTGAGGGTCACGATTTTTTTTAGCCATTTTCGCTCAAGATAGCGATAGGTTGTAAATATTACTGTGTTACGATTTTAAGTGCATTGTGTCCCTATTGCTATTATGTTAAATAAACAAATAAATAAACTCGTGGGACAGCTTTGTGGCGCAGAAAATATCTTCAAAGTTATCTATGTTAGGCTTAGGTTAGAGGGGAAGACTATCTTTTTTTAATTAGATTATCATATTGTTTAGTAATAATTGTGATAAATTAAAAATTATTGCAATGATTACTAAACGTTAAATAATAATCATAGTGATTTAAAAAAGGCCAACCCGGTATGTATATTGCAATGATAAACGTTAAAATGATTATTTTAGTAATTAAAAAAGGGACCTGTTTAGAGACTTTTCACCAACCCGTATAAATTATATTTAAAATTAGTACTATAAATCTTAGCGGAGATAGTAAAAATAAAAGGGACCTGTTTATAGACTTCATCAACCCGGTATAGTAGTAAGCGATTTTTGACAAAACGGACGTTTGTTTTGATCGAGTTACGTTGCACATAATCTTGAAATCTGATTCGTAGATTACGGTATCGGCGTCACAAACCTTGGCGCAAATTTCCGACATGCGTAACAATAACAATCAACTATCATTCGTTTCGTATAGTGCATGTCCTTTTTATAACAAGCTTACTAGTATAGAACTTGCATTTTATTAAAAAATGAATGCGCCAAATCACAAAGAACTTCTTTATTCAGAATGAGTATAAATGAATATTCATAAATGTATAAAAATTGACTGCCCTATAAAAAAGGGTTGTATAAAATCGTTTAATATTTGTATTTTATGTTAAAAAATGGTTAAAAAGGTGCCATTTTGTCTAATTTTTATTAATTTAAATTAAACCAAAAATTAGACAAAATGGCATCTTTCTAAACATGCAATACAAATATTAAACAAATTTAATATAACCATTTTTTTATAGAGCTGTGCTACATAGGTTTATCAAATTTACGGAATAACTTTCAGATGTTGCCTAAATTAAAATTCATTTACGAGCACTTATGCAATACATTTTAATATGAGTGAACCTGAACCTTTCGATCCAAAAGATTTAGAACAAATAACAGAAATTGAAGATCAAAATGATAGAAAGCAAATTCTAGGAATATTATCAGGAACAGGGTATAACATCAACCAAATTATAGGAGCTGGTTTGTATTTAAATCTCTCTCTTGTAGACTTTTCGCGATGAATAAAGCTTATTACTATATTAAATAGGAATTTTCCAAAGTCCTGGTAATATATGGTGGCTAGTTCAGTCACCAGGAATTGCTTTAATATTTTGGGCTATTGGTGGTGTTGTGAGTTTATTCGGAAGCCTAGTTTACATCGAGGTAAAGCTATACCTGAAAAAGACGGCTAAACTACAAATTGTTTAGTTTAGTTTATTATGTTTTATTATAAATTGATTTTTCCTTTTTTATAGCTGGGAATTAGGACGTATCGTAGTGGAATAGGAGAACAAATATACATCGATGAAGCGTTTTATTGTGTAAATAATTTGGGGCATATATTTAGTTTGGTTGCAATTTTGTAAGTTATTCTTGAATTGTTGTTACTATGCATGCTATATACATATTTATGCAGTATAATTAAATTTCTTATTAAAGTGCGATCTTTCCCGCTGGAATAATTGCTGATTCCTATACTTCCGCCAAATACCTTCTTTATGCTATTGAAGGAAATTCTTATAGCAGTAACGATAATAAAATGTAAACTAAAATTGTTTGAGTATATTATACTTTACCCAATTTCTACACTAGATAGTTACTTTCTTGATGTACATGTCGGAAATAGTGTGTGCATACGGATGCGATATTTTAACTTTTTTTTTTGAATTTATTCTGTAGCATCTTGCCGGCTGTCACGATTAGTATTTTAGGAATTATTACAGTGTATCACGTATTCAACAATAGATTACCCGTTTATATAAACCAAACGCTTGCCTTGATAAAGCTTTTTGCTCTACTTATTATTTCCATAGTTGGATTAGTAAAATTAATTACTAATGACAATAATTGGAAAAGTATTTTTGATACATATTCACCTAACTTGGGTGATTATACCAGTGCTATGATTAAGGTAAATTACAGTATTTTATATCGTTATCAGACAACATATAGAATTTTAAATAATTGACTAAGAATTTAAACTTAGATTCTGTTTGCATATGGAGGTGTGTTAAAAAAATCCAAAATATTAGTCGCTCGTAAATAAGCTATTAATTATATATATTTATTTACATTATTTAAGGATGGAATAACATAAATTGTAAGATAGCTCGTTACACACATTTAAATAGTTTTAATATAATCTAAATGGTTCGATAAAATTATTCATTATAGATTTGATTCAAGAATTAAAATCTCCAGAAACGAAGTTGAAATATTCAACTATTACTAGTGTTGTTATTTCTTTTATACTTTGTAAATTTTCCATTGCTTAATATTTTATTTATTTTATTGGCTATAGCGTTCCAAAAATAACTACGATTGTTTTTATTGTTTAGATATTCTCATCAATGTTGCTTATACAACAGTAGTTGATAACAATGATCGACGAAAGTCCAAATAAGGCTATTGCTATACTTTTTGTTGAAAATAACGAACTTGGAAGAAGTCTTATGTCAGCGCTTGTTGCAATCTCCGCTTTTGGGAGCGTAGGATCAATGTTTTTTATGTGAGTTTGCTAAGCCATACATAATTTGATACAATATTATATTAATTTCTCTATATTTTTTAATAGTTATGCACGAATTATAACGTATGCCGCAGAGACCAGATTCATGCCAAAAATATATAACTTATTTAACTATTGGAATAGGAGATTCAATACGCCATTTAATGCATATATAGCACAATTTATTTATTGTTTAATTTTAACAATTTTTTTTTCGATAAATGGAGAAAATCCTTTTGACTTTTTCTCTGATACATCACAATATTTGTCAATTATATTTAATGGGTTTAGCGGAATTTGCTTGCTTGTAAGTCAAATTGACTAAGTTTGCTTTTTAATTTGATTCGATTTATTAAAAAAATTCAACATGTCTAATTAGGTTTTGAAGCGAAGAAAGAATCAAAGCTATAATTGGTTTAGAACACCTGTATATATTAATATAATTTATCTCTGTTTCATAATTTTTATTATCTTTGCATCATTTGCAGAGGGACGTTACGTACATTATATTGTAGCGAATAGACCCTACATACCTTATATTATATCTTGGGTGGCTATCTTATTAGGAATATTTATTTGGTTTTCTAGTAATTTTAAAAATTTAAGAACTGATATCCAACAATAATGTGCTTTAGTTATAACTAAATGTTGAAAAATTTTTTTGCTTATTTATTTTATGTATATTTCTATTATTAGTATTTCTTCCATTTCTTTCCTACAGTATTTATACTGTATGGTTTCCTTTCCTAAGTCTAAACATCCATAAAATTCATAGTCAAAGAATAAGAGACCATTATTAGAATGATGCAAACTTTCGATATCTCTAATAATGTATATAATAAAAGGAGAAGTACTCCATATTACTCCAATATTGATAAGCTAGCTGATTCAATTTTGATTGATTATACGTACGTATACTGCAATTATGCTTCAATCACAAAATTCGTCAATTCTCAATCTACGCGTGTTAATTTTCGATCTCCACTGATTGAAAAATAATTGGATTTTTTAATGCAATTTGTTATTAAATTAATTGTATTAGATAAAATCAGTGTAATGATAGCATGATTTCATCTTGATATAATAAGGGAATAATAATATAATAATAATAATAATAATAATAATAATAATAATAATAATAATAATAATAAAGAGAATTGCTAATCTTAACCGGGGGCAAATTCCCTGGGGTGCTGTATCTCGATAAAGTACTAAGTAAACGGGATCGGGTCCTCTAAGTAAAAATGTTCAGGACCCCCAAAAACCTCACGAGAACTGAGATCGG